ACAGGGTCTCGGCTATGTTGACCAGGCTGGTCTTGAACTCTTGGCCTTAAGTGATCCTTCTGCCTCAACTTCCCAAAAAGCTGAGATGATAGGCATGAGTCACCACACCTGGCCAGGGCAGTGACATTCTAAGGCAATGGCTTCACTTCAATCTTTTCTGGGGTTACAGGAGATGGGAAGGGCCGAAGGTGGCATGAGAATGTGTGTGTGTGTGTGTTTTTGTGTGTGTTTTTGTGTGTGTGTGGAAGGATTGGTGAGATGACTGGAGGAAGAGGCAGTCCTTGTGCTTAACTCTCATGGCCTAAATAGCGAGAAACAAAGATTCAGGAAATAAGGAAAAAACAAATGAGTGATTGCCTCTCTGGATCAAGCACACCAGCGGGCACAACCAGCCTTTCTTGAGCTACTGTGTGCCAGGCACCGTGCCGCACCCTTGCATGCATGTGGACGCTTCATGAGTTCATGAAGCAGGTATACTTCCAGCCCCATTTTTCAGAGAAAGAAACTGAGGCTGAACAATCTGGCAGCTGTCAGGTGGCAGAGCAGGGGTTTGAACCCAGGTCCAGGAGTTCTTAACCACCATGTTTTCCTGCCCTTGATGTATGAAATGAGATGATGTAGTCACGTGCCAGCTTGTCTAGGGATGACTCAGAGGTTTAGAGATGGATGTCACGTGGATGTCATACAGGAGAGGCAGGCATAAGCTATAGTAAAGTTAGGAAAGGCACAGTGACGTGGAGCAGTGTGTGCAGTGGACGGGTTCATGGCTGGGGGCGAGAATGGTGGAGGACTTTTGATTATTTCATCAGCATTGTTTCTGTAACCAAAGAGCTGCATGACCAGACCCTGAGATCTAGTTCCTTAGTAGGAATAATTATTAGGCACAATTCCCTTTACTTAAAAGCTGGGGCAGCCCTAAGGTAGGAGTTGGAAAGAGTTTGGGGGATAATGTTTGCTTGGTTGCCTTCTGTTTAGGCTGATGTTCAGTGAGGGTCAAGGGCTGTGTGTCCAATCCCTGGCATGCGGGGGTGTTTGTAGTACATAGCCAGCCTCAGGATGGCCCCCAGGGATCCACACTGCCTTTTTATATGGTCCCCTGCCACACTGAATCAGGCTGGCTTTGGGCAACCAGTGGGAAGTGGCGGAAGTGAGTGATGATGTGTGACTTCTCGGGCTAGGTCATCACAGGCATTGCACTTTGGCTCTCGGGAAGCCAACTGCCTTGCATGAGGCGCTCAGGCAGTCTCGTGGGGAGGGGTGAGTCCCCTGGCCCCCAGCCTGTACAGCTTGCACATGAGCCAGCTTGGAAGCAAATTTCCCAGCCCCGGTCAAGCCTTCTGATGAGTGCAGCTCCAGCTGACATCCGATTTCCACCACTCAAGAGACCCCAGGTCAGTGCTGCCCAGCTGAGCTCTTCCCGGGTTCTTTATTTCCCTCTAAAATGAGCTGTTTTAATTTTAGAAAACTTAAAAACATAGTGACAGTGAAGCACGGATATGCCTTACACACAGTCCCAAGTCAGTACTGACTTCAAGCTACGTCCTCTCTTTCCAAGAAAGAGAAAGCAGAGAACAAAGTTCAATCTACAGTGTCTTCCCAAATTCTTGACCCACAGGATCTGCGAATGTGTTCTATGACTGTATTAAGCCTCTAAGTTTGGGAGTAACTTATGCAACATTAGGCAAATGGAATAGTGCTCAATAAATGTCTGTCACATGAATGGGCAGTGACCATGGATGCATTTCTAGTTGTGTATTAGTTAAGGCTCTTCTGGTTTCAAGTAACAGAAATCCACCTCCAACTAGCTTGAGCAAAATGGGGCATTTCTCTGATCAAGTAACGGAGAAATCCAGGAGTGTCTGGCTTCGTGCATAGCTGGACCCAGGCTCAATTTCCACCTCCTGACTCTGCTTCCCTTGGTTGCAACTCTTTCAGGAATCAGCATTCCGAAAGACCACGCTGCTAGAAACAGACAGGCCCATCCTTTCAGCCGGGTCCAGGACTGTTTGCTCAGTCACTGCTCTCAGAGGCAGAGGCAGAGGCAGATGCCGGGCACACATCCACAGAAGTGGAGATGGCAGGGAACTGAGAGTGGAGTGTTGGAAAGCTGGCTTTTGCCTATGGGTTCTGCTTCTGACATTCATCTAACAATGTCGGGCTTTACATTGGCGCCATCTGCAGACCCAGGAGAAGGACAGCTTCCATCCCACCGCATCACATGCCAGTCCTGGGACAGGGGAATGACTTATGGGCAACCTTTCCAGAATCACCGGGGCCTGGCCACACATGAGCCACGCCCACGCTTATGTGACAGACGGCCCCTGTGCCTGGGGTGCTGTATTACCCAGGGGAACAAGTGGTCCTGGGTGGGCAAAAGCAACAGAAGAGAAGTCAGCTCCACTTCCTTCCAAAACCTGATGAGAAGTCCTGGTCAAAATCACCCTCCAGGCCCGGTATGGTGGCTCACACCTGTAATCCCAGCACTTTGGGAGGCTGAGGTGGGCGGATCATGAGGTCGAGGGATCGAGACCATCCTGGCCAACATGGTAAAACCCTGTCTCTACTAAAAATACAAAAATTAGCTGGGCGTGGTGGCAGGTGCCTGTAGTCCCAGCTACTCGGGAGGCTGAGGCATGAGAATTGCTTGAACTGGGGAGGCGGAGGTTGCAGTGAGCCGAGACCGCACCATTGCACTCTAGCCTGGCGACCGAGTAAGACCAAAAATTTAAAAAAATCACCCTCCATTTTTGGCTTTCTCTTTCATTAGCAAAATGAACCTTATTTTCTGACCATGACCATGAAATGCCTAGAGAAGGGAGACACTCATTTTCCAGTGGGCCTACTGTGTGCTGGGGTGGCGAGACTCTTCCTGCCCTGAAACTTGCTGAGGTTGGGGAAGATATTATATGGCTGGCTTCCTCTGTACTTTTTCAGTGGGGGCGGGTGTTTATGCTTCGTGATACAATGGTGGGATCTTGGTTGGAATATGAACTTTTTTTTTTAGATGGAGTCGTGTTCTGTTCCTCAGGCTGGAGTACAGTGGCACCATCACAGCTCACTGCAGCCTTGATCTCCCGGGTCAAGGGATCATGGTGCCTCAGCCTGCTGAGTAGCTGGGACTACAGGA